CCCCATTGACGTCAATGTTCATTCATGGGGAAGCGGGCGGGCGCCTCGAGCTGGGGGGACTCCCAGTGATTGGAGGATGAGGTCCTCTCCCCGGCCCGCGCCTGCGCGCTAGGGTCCTTCGCTGGAGGGGCGTGAGCTAGTCGAGCGCCGGGGAAATGAATGAATGAATGAATGAATGAAATGCCGAGGCGGGCGGGGCAGGGGGGCTATGAATGAATGAAGGAGAGACGAGGAGAAAAGGATGAATGAATGAATGAATGGGAGAATGAATGGAAGGGTGGATGCAGAGACGCTGCACCGCCCGAGGGTGGGTTACAGAGCAACTTGCAGCGGCGGAGCCAGTGTTGCTGAATGAAATAGGATGGGGCACCCCTGCGTCTGACTGGGCACCAGTAGGAGAGTCATACTGGGGAGGTGGAGGATAAAGATTCCAAAGCCCAGGAGGGAGCCGGGCTCCTCATCCCGGGACTGCACGGTCCATGGGGAACACGCCCAAGGACAGAGTGAACCCGAGAGCCAAGGAACGCATCTGCGCGCCTTAGGGCGCTGTCCGCGGATCTGCGGTGCGGGGTGCCGGCCCTGGGCGGGGGTAGATGGGTAGAACGTGCGGTTGGGTAATTCTGTCGGAAAGGGTTCGAGTCGGAAGAAAAGGGAAAGATTGAGGATGTATATGCCTGTGTCGTGTCTGTTCACTGTCGGTGCGTGTCTGGAGAAAAAGGTGTGTCTGTCCTTCTGTCCAGCTGACTATAGCGTATGGCCCCGCTTTGCCCCTTTTCAGCCCACCTCTCCCCACCTTCCTCCTCCTTTTTTCCCTCCTGCTGCTCCACCGCCAAAGGACATTTGGAGGGCGAGAGCAGACCAGGTGGGGAGGGGGTTGAGCAGGTGGGGGGGGTGACTCAACTCCAGCTCTCTCCACTGCTTAAAGGGAAGGTTTGGAGGCGATACGGGGAGGGGGAGGCATGCAACGTCAGAGATCTCCCCTCTCTGCCACCAGACTCCTCGTCTGTATCTCCTGCCAGAGAGGTTGGGGCTGGGGGCTTGGACAGCTGAAGGTTCCGGGGGATGGGGGGCGATGACGCACAGATTGCGCAAAGAGAATCCATCAACTAGCCGGGTCCAGTGAAGGGAGACTAGCCGTGGGCGGGGTGGGGGGAGGACGGAAATGGGGAGGGGGTGGGGAAGAAGGGAGGGAAGCAAGGGGAGCAGCCACTGCAGGAATGAAGGGGAGGGAGAGAGGCTGGAGGGGCTGCGGTGCAGGCAGAGAGCTGTGCGGGGGCGTAGGCAGGGAAAGGGGGGAGTGACAATGACACACACCAGACACACAAGAACTGCGGACACAGGGGTGCCTATGGGCACACGTAGGGCACTCATGCCCTAAGACCCTGGAAATATGGATCAGGGCCGCCTGTCAGGGGCTGAGAGACTCTTTGCGAGCCAGTCCTCAACCCCCTCCTCATCTCTTCCTAGCACTGACCCTCCTCTATCTGTCTCTCTTTCACACTCCCTCTCTCTCTCTCTCTCACACACACACACACACTCACGTGCTTTCCCTCTATAGCCAGCAGTGGCTTCTCGGTTCCATCAGTGGTTCGACTTTCCCAGAAGAAAGCCCGTCAGCTCTGCAGGGAAAGAGGTGGGGAGTAGAGAGAGAGGAAAGAGAAGAGATGGGGGCAGGAGAGGGTGGAAGGGAGGAAGGGTGAAATCTGGAGCAGGTAGAGGAGCGGGCTAAAGGAGAAAAAACAACTGAGACCCACGGTGGCTGTGGAGACTCCAAGGAAAGGAGGGAGAGGAGGAGCACCAGACCGCCAGGCTGTGCCTCTCCCCCCGACCACACACATACACAACTCTCCAGGGCCTTCCCCTACCCTTGTGGGCACCCCTCATTCCTCCTCCCATCTCCCCTCTAGCTTCCCAGCCCACTGGAAGCAGTGGGATGGGGAGGGGGTCACGTTACCTTCCTGAGGAGGATGAATCAGAGATGGCTCAGGCAGCTGGAGGGCGGAGGGGAAGCCATCCGAGAGAGAGAGAGAGAGAGAGAGAGAGAGAGAGAGAGAGAGAAGGAAGGAGGAGGGAGGGAGCCCAGGGGGCAGACAGAGAGGCTCATGGGGCTCAGAGACTAAGTATGAGATGAGGGGAGATAGGCAGCTAGAGAAACTGTTCCCGTGGGCACCTATGTGTGCATGTGGGTTTAGGTGTGTTATATTAATGAAATATAAGGGGGAAAGAAAAAGAAAGGGAATTAGGGGGCCCAATTGTATATTTAATCAGACAGAAAGTGGATAGGCATGACATTATTCCAGTTTAAATATGTAATCTTCTCTTCCTATCTGTGTGGCTGTGGTTTTGCTTTTTCCAGGTGTCTGTGTGTAAGTATGAGTGCGTGTGGGTTCTGATCCTTCTGAGTGCACATATATCTGTATGGTTGGGCATCTTCAGGTGCATTCAGTCTGGGAATCTGCTGGTGTCTGAAAAGTGTGCTTGGCTTGGTGTGTCAACAAGGTGTGTGTGTGCATGTGTGTGTACATGTGTGTCTTTGTGCATTTCTATGTGCCCTTCTATGCCTCTTGCTATATGTTAGAGGTTATGTGGACTTTCCTGTACCTTTGATCTTGCCTGCCCCTCCTCCGTTCACCTTCATCTCTAGGTTTCTGTGCAGTAAAGCCTCTTATCCAAGCCTCTCATCTGCAGCCCCCCAGTTTAGGTCTTTGCCCCTTGTTCAGAGTATGTCCCCATACCTCCATTCTTTCCCAACTCCCCACCCCTTCTTCCCTCTACTCAGCCCAGAAGACCAAGGGAGCTTCTCAGAAATCAGCATTCCCAAGAGTCTGTCATCATGGAGTGGAGAGGGAGCAGTGATATGGAAGCCCAGGGCACAGAAGGCAATAGGCTTGGTGATTCCACAGTCCGGCTCCTGTCTGCATAGACTCTAAATCTCTGAGTCTGTTCCCGCCTCTCTCCATCCCAGATCCTACCTGGGTCTGCTCATTCACATACACCCCACCTCTTAAAGACATGCTGTGCCCTTCAGACCCTGCTACCTCTAGGGCTTGTGTAAAAGAGCTGGACTGGGGATGGATGGGTTCCTGGGATTGGGAGAAGGAGGGCAATGGCAAGAAAAAAAAGGGGATGGAGACAGAGCTGGAAAAAGCAAAGCTGAGACAGGCACCTGGAGGGGATGCTTGGTGTTTGCTTTGAGTTGTTTTTATAAATTCATCTCTCTTTGTCTTTGTTTCTGAATCTCTCATCTCTCCAAGAGAGTAACAGGAGAAGATGGGGTCCGCTGAGTAGGGATACAAGCTGCAGATTTTTACAACAGGGGAGGGGGTCAGAGCACTGGGTCTTTTTCCTGAAAAGGTTTGGGAGAGAAGAGGGCAGGGGCTTAAGGCCCCTGCAGCTCACGGTCCCCCTCCTCCCCCCAGCCAGTGACTCACCTCTGCAGCCTTCCATTGCGTCAGCAAGGGGGCAGGAACGGGCAGGGAGAGGGGTGCTTTAGGAGAGGGGCAGGGGTCTCCACTTTGAACTGAAAGAAGGTGCTGAAGATCCCCCTGAGAAGAGCTCAAATAGAACGATTCATTGTCCTAACCCCTGTCCATCCCAGTTCTGTAGGGTGTGGAGCCCTGGGACGGGAACAGGAAGACGGCTGGGGGCCACTGGTGGGTCTGGGAGTGATAAGTAATAGGAAGGAGGTGCTCACCCTGTTTCACTCCCTGGGGTCCCATTCCTTCCTACCCCCACCCACTTCTGAGTGGGGGAGGGGAGACCCATCAAGCCGATTGGGAGGGCAAAACCGCATAGATGAGTCACCAAGAAAGGGAGACAGAGATAAGGAGAGACACAAGAGAGACAGCTTCTGGAGAGACTGAGAAAGGAAAACACACGCACGCACTATGAAGGTGGTATCCACAAGACCAACAAGAGAAAGAAAATTGTGTACTTCCATGATCCTGACCCAGCCTCCTCCAACATCCACCTTTCACATACAAACACACACTATTATTCAGTTCCACTGATATCCTGAGACACACCCACTCACACAAACAAAATATCACACCTAGCCTAGCAGGGTCACCCAGACACATGCTGAAGATGTGTCCAGAGTAATGGAGATTCCCGTTGAGAGCCCTCATTCCTTTCACACCGGATGAGGAGAGGTAGTAAAAACCCTGAAGAAATGTGTCTTCAAACATCCAAGATGCGATTTCAGGGACTCACAGGCTATGCCTTGCACACGGGAGGATACACAGTCGCCTGCTTTCCCATCCACACGTACATAGTAACATATCAAGCATCGTCCTCATCAAAAAACTACTTGGAGTACCAATTTCTGGGGTACACCAGGCACATTGTCCCGAATACATCCCACCCAGACGCCCCCTGACTCGTACACACATGTACGAACGCAGACACACAAAGACGCCCATGGGCACACTCACACGGACGGAAACCACCTTGCGCTGCCTCGCCCGCGTCCGCACGCGTCCTGGCGCCCCCGCGTGTTATTTTTCGGGATCGCAGTCCTCGACGCTTCAGAGCTCAGCTCCCGGGGGCGGTGCCCAGACTCCCTCCACCTCCTCCCCACTCCGCGGGGCGCCCACTCTGGAGTGGGAAAAGCGAGCGCGCTGCCCACGAGAGCGTAGAAAACTGGGAGTTAGACGCCTGGATCGTAGGGCTGAGGGAGACTGGTCCTGAATGTCAAGGAGAACTTGGGAGAATAACCCACAGAATAGCAGCGGACTCCCAGGTCCAGGGAAAAGCGAAGGCCAGGGCTAGTCAGGGCTCCCCGCTGCTGATCGCCTCCATTCTGAGCGATCGCTTCTTTCCGCCGCTAGGTTGGGGTGGGAGTGAGGAGGGGGCACGCAACGGTCAGCAACCTCCCCAGCTCCAGGAAGCCATCAGCCCCATTGCCACAGGGCTTAGAGATCCTTTCTAATACAGGCAGCTGGGATAATGCGCCTCATCCCTCCCCCACTGAGAAGTGAAACAGACACAGAGGGTGTGCTAAGGGTCCGTTTTATTGCAATACAGCCATGGTGGAAGTGACAGGGAGGGTGGCCGCAGGAGGCAGCCAAGCAAGGAAGAGCAGCGCAGCAGAAACCCAGAACTGGGGAAAGTGATGAAGCAGCAGCAGTCCTCTTTGCCCACTTTCTTCCACATCTTGGCATCCTCCTCTGCCCACATCTTTGATGCCATCCCAGCGAACCTTGTGCTTGCTGCCAACAAATCCGTAACAACTGTCCATTGTCCAACAAAAAGTTCAAGCTACCACCGTCACACAGAGTGAGGTTCTGAGGCATGCTTTGGGCTTGGGACACTTCAGTTCTAGTATCTGCCAGGCTCCCAGCTATGTAAATGACTTGGAAGTCACTTTGATCTTTCTGAGCCTGCTTCCTCCCACCTGTGGTAGATGTGAGGATCTGGTGTTAAGAGAAAGCGCTGTGCAATTGCAGCTGTTACTTATTTGCATTTACACAGAAGACTGTCCAAGTCCAGAAAGCATAATGGAACCAGAGGAAAGGGGGGTTTCCCAGAAATATCTGGAAATGGGGGTTCCAGTCTCATTAGAAGACAGCTTGGTTAGAACTAGGAGACAGCCCCACACTGGGCTAAGGGACCTTCACTACAGTAAATTCTCCAGCCTCAAACCCCTCTATTCATGGCCTGGTTCAAGCTGCTGGTTAGGAGCTTATGCAGGGGCATGCAAAATATCAACGTGGTAAAAAATTAGAGGAAACCCCACTGGGGGTGGGGGCAGGCTCAGAAAGGTGCATCATCAGAGCACTCAATAGGGAACAAACTGGGAGGGGGGCATTATAAATCGATTCATTTACAGGGTTTCTTCCGTACAACACACAGAGCAGGTGATGAAGAGGTCACGGAAAAGAGGATGGTGGGGCTGACAAATGGGTAATGAAGAGGTAGCTAAGTATTGGAAAATCCAGGAGTATCAGGATGGGGCACAGAGAGAAGGAGGGTGAGAACGCTGACTCAGAGGCATAGGAGGCTGAGAGTGTGGCGAAGATGGGAGCGCGGGACAGTTGGGGGGGCTTAAGAAAGAGCGGGAGGAAGGAAAGTCATACGTACTGGGCAGCTATGCTCCGGCCAGGTGAGGGGCACTGCACCCACCTCTGTTTCCACCCACCAGGAGGCAGAAGGAGAAGCCAAAAGAGCAGAGTTCACTGCCAGGCCAGGGTGACAGACAGAGAAAGGCTCTGAAGACTGTGAAAGAACCCATTCTTTGGTCAGAAGGGGAAAAAATGGACAATATCTGAGCAAGGGGCTCCCGCAGAGGTTCATCAGATCAGGACCCAGCTAACAGCGTTTGGTGGCGCTGGAGGACAGGTGGCAGAGCGGTAAGAGGAAAATGGGAGGGAGGCACGAGCACTGGGTAAGGGTAGGCGTCAGGACCCTTTCCCCAGGGAAAGGGGAGGGGCGGAGCCTGCAAATAGTGGGAGGGGGGATTTCTGGGGATCTGCAGAAGAGGGCGCGTCTGAAGTGCTTCTTTTCTCTGCGGGAAGAGAGGCTTCGGAAGTCCGCCTCCAGCGATACCATTCAGTATAACCCTTGGCCTGTTGGAGCCTCAAGCCACCCTGGCAGAAGTCTGCCAGCTGTGACCACAACCGGGGCTCTAGGAAGAGCTGGCACATGACACTGAGGCCGGCAAGCATGGGGCCTGGCGCTGCCGGTGCCACAGAAGCTGGCTCTGCACCTGCGCGCCGTCGCTGCAGAAGGCATCGACGTTGAAGTAGCTCCACGTGCCGTCGCGGCAGTGCGGGATGGGGAAGGGGCACGTGCACAGCGTGAGCACGCGCGGGCACGCGTGGCTGTCCACGCACCACTCCAGGTCCTTGGCCGCCAGCAGGCGCAGGTTGCTCTCGCTCGGCGGGTAGGGCTGCCAGTCCTAGTTAATGGTTCCGCCCGGAGCACGTCGCGCTGCACATAGGGCGACAGGAGGAGCCACGTCGCCTCCTGCTTCCTACATAGCCTCTGTGGGCAGCGGGGAGAAGATGCCTGAGGCCCACGGCCCTGCACCCACTGTAGAAACGGGTCAAAAAGATGCCCTGTGTGGGGCACGAGTGTGCGCGGGACGGGCGGCGGGAGGGCTAGTGAGCCCGGCGCCTCTCTTCATCTTCACTCCCACATTCACACCCAGGGGCTCCCTCCTGAGGACTGCCTGTACCAGAGTGTCTGAAAGCCTGGGTACCTGAGGTAGCATGGAGGAACCAGGGGCAAGGCCTCAAAATAGGTACCTGGATCTCCAAAGCGGAGATCAGTGTGGAGTAGCCAGGAAACTGGGGCTGTAGGCCCCTGGGTCTCTGTGGGGCGTGGAAACCAGGGAAAGTAGACAGTCGGTAGGATGGGGGAGGTAGAGGAAAGGACAAAGGCTCAGATTAGGATGTTTGGATCCCTGAAGGGCGGCAGGGTCACAGAAGTCCAGACACCTGGGCTCTTCAGCCTACTGGAATGAGGACTGAGGGTGTGACAGCTGGGAGTCGGGGGCTGTTTGACTTCCCACGGCAAAAGTTTCCTGGGTAGGGGCTGGGAGGCCTGGGATAGGGCTCAGGAGCTGCCCCACTCGGCAGAGCCGGGAGAGAAAGCAAGGCTGTGACTGGCTGTGCGTCGGGGAGCACGCTGGGAGACCCCCCGGGGAGAGGCCGGGCCGTGCGAGCTCCCTTGTCCTTCTCACCTGCTCAGTGAGTAGACGGTATTTCTTCAGCTCCCGGGGTCCCAGCTAGTCGTCCCGGATGAGCGGTGCCACCCTGACCCCCGGTGCTCTCTCTTGACCAGCTGCCAGCAGAAGCGCCCGAGCAGCCGGGCCACGCCCATGCCGCTCTCCCAGGGCGTCAAGCGCAGCCCCTCCACCAGCGCCGTTAATCACGTGCACCGACTCCAGTGCCATCTGCGGGCCCAGGCGGTCGGGCTCCCCCACCCCCTCGCTCCCCACCTCCGCCCGGCCAGGGTTCTCAGCACCAAAAGCTAACCTCTTCCCACACGCTGAGCACTCTCTCCTCAGCACCCCTGGCGCCAGGCCAGTCCCGGGCCTGCCCAGGGAGCTCTCCTCAGCACTTCGTCTCGGATTCCAGAGCCGGCATAAGGGTCATTCGCCAGGATATCTTCAGCCTCTGGAGATGCTTCAGCTCCCCTCCCACCCGGTCCCGGACCTCTTGCCACGCCCCCTCTCATTGGTCCCACCCCTAGAGCTTGCGGACTCCAGGCCCAACTTGAAGCGGGTCCTGACCGCCGCAAACAGATCCTCTTATGTCAGAGTTCAGTCTACACAGGAGATCTGGACCCACTCCAGTTGTTCTCACCCCGTCCTATCCCCTCCCTCTTGCCTGCTCCCCTCTTTTTTACGCTCCTGCCTCCAAAAATTCCTCTAACGAATCCTCAAACACCTAAGGTCTCTCCGACCCCTCCCCTCGGTTCCTCCGGTGCTCCTAGTTCTACATGTACCCCACCCCACGCTCATTGTCTAGGCCCTGGATCCGCACACCCTACCCTTTGGCCCCAAAGCCGACTTCTGTTCCTCAGATCAGAGCTGGAGGAGAGGTTTGCTTCCTCTCCCCCGTAAGATCCAAGCACCCAAGCGTGGCTTCACCCCTTTTCAGCTGGGCACCGCCCTCTGGCTCTCACCATTCCTCCGTTGCGCTTGGCCAGCAACGTGCTGCGGTCGGGATCCGGGAGCCAGCTGTGGTAGCGCTGGGAAGGTAGTCAAGGCCACCGTAGGTGCCCCCCGAGATGGCCATCACCTTCTTAAACTCCCTTTCTGAAGCCGCCACTTAGTGCAATGGCCCAGCCTGGGCTCAGGCCTTGATCTGAACCTGAGCTTGATCTTCAAGGACTTGGGGCCTTGGCCTCAGACCCTGACTCCTCCTGCAGGGGCTCGACTTCAGCATCAAGCCCTGAGCTGGAGCTGGACGTGGCCCCGGGCTCCTGTGTCTGAAAGTGGCTCTGTAACTCTGCCTCTTTTTCAGGCTTAGGGACCTCTGAGGTGGCTATGCCATTTCTGGCTTCCAGCTTCATTACCCTGCAGAAGAGAGAGAACCCAGCATCAGGATCAGAGTCCCATTTCACATCTGACCAACTACACACACAGTCCCCACAGCCCTTCCTACACAAACACCTCTTTTCTGTTCTCCAAACAGACCCTGGGAATAGTGGGCCTCCAGCTCCCAAAGATTCTGACCCTACTCTGCCCCACCCTGCCTGGATGCTCCTCAACAGCCACAAATGAATGCCTATAGCTCCCCAGAGCCTAGCCCTAGATTCCCTCCACCCCAGTCACCCTCAGGGACTCAAAGGAGAGAAGACCCTTGAAGGAGAGTAAAAAATGTGGGAACATCCACAAGGGTCCCACCACCTCTCCAAGACCTCTGCAAGAACAACACAAGAAACTCCCATCTCCCTTCCCCCTACTAGAGCGGTCCCCAGGAAAAAGCAGAGGGTTCCACTCCCCCACCCCTTTCCTGCCACTTATAATCCCAGCGCGAAGGGAGGGAGATGTAGGCCCCAGATATCCTCTACCCAGTACTGCCTTCAGTCCCCTCAATATGCACACATATTTCAAACATAAACTAAAGGAGTGGACAGATGGACAGATCCATTACAAAATGTCAGGCCATTCTTCCCAGGCCAACTAAAACTGCCCTTTCCTTCCTCCAGTTGGAATCTGTTCCCTCCTTCTTCAGAGGGACACTTGGCTCCACTCCAGGGTTAGGTGATCATTTTGGAAAAGTCTCTGTTGGGACTCCAGCAAACAAAATATTCACCAATATTACCCATGCCTCTTTCCCTATTTGCCTCTCCATCACAGATGGAGTCCCTCCCCTTCTCCCTCAGTCCTATTCTTTCCCCTCCCTTTCCCTCCTCTTCTCTTCCTTCTTAATTTCTTCCTGTAATTCTTGCCCACTCTGGCTGGCATCCCTTTAGCACCTGGATCTTCCATTTTTCCTGCCCAGAGACAGGGTTAAAGAGACAGCCCCCTCCCCAAGTCCTGATGACTCCTCATGTCCAGACCAAATAAATCAATTAAATTCCCCTCTTCTCTCTTTCAGCCAATTATGAATGTCCCCTCACATAACTCACATTAAGCCTCATTAACCAACATACCAGTTATTTTGTTGGCGGGGTGTGTGTGATATTGCCTTGGGTGGACTTTTTCTTTTATTAAACAACATGACCAAAAGGGTAGTTTGGGATGATTTTAGCTTCCATACATGCTTGTTGTACAAGCAAGGCTATAAATCAAGAGCTCCGTCTCCCTATTTGTTTTCAGTCTGATGTCAATGCCTAAGGCTCTCCCAGGTAAGCCTGGGTGAGATAAGACAGCCAGTATCATCAGAGAGCAGGGGAAGTTCAGGTCAGAAGATCTTAGACCCCTACTAGAGCCATGGAGACCACCAGGTTCAACCCATTCCTTTTACAGTTTGGAAACGGAGGCCCAAGGAGGTTAAGATCTTGCTTATGGTGACTTAGGTTGGGCAGAGCCAGCCTAAAAGTTAAGTTTTCCTGGTTTCCAGATTGGTGGGGCAGATCTCTTTTTGATATATCTAGATCTCTAAACCTAGCCTGAAGAGCAATGGTAGGAATTACTGGGCCCTTGGCAGGATTCAAATATACAAGTGCTAACTAAGGGCTATGCTGACTCAGAACCAGAGATGAGACTGCAGAAGGAACCCCCTCTTACACCCCCTCTCAGCAATTCCTGTGCCAACACCAAGCCTGGGTCCAACTCAAGCACTAGACTCCTTGTGCTCATCCTCCTCTGAGGATGAGCCTGGGAGATGAGCAGGTTAGCCTGTGACTCCCATCTGCATCTCCAGGCAACCTCACCAACTGCTTGTTCATGGGTCCCTGGAAAGTTCATGCTGTTAGTTCAGCAGTGACTCCAGCAATTCCCCACTGCCCCAAAATGGGGCAGAATGCAAGCAATTTGTAGACTGGAACACATCCAACTAATCCAAGTTATTTAGGCTTCAGCTACCCTCCTTTGCTTTCAAGATGGTGAAACTATTTCTGAAGGGTGTTTCCACATCTCAGATAAGGCTGTAAGGTGTGGGGGAGTCCCCGGGGTCACAGGGAGGAAGGAAGAGCTTGACAATTCATCTCCCACCTTTTCTCTCCAGACACTGCTCTATTCCTATTCCCTTTTTGGGGTCACAAAAAAGTTCCAAGGCTCTTAAATCTTGGCGGAGGTGGGTGCTGGAAACTAAGCAGGTCAGGGTTCCAGGCCAAGCCAAAGCTGCTGGCTTGTCCCACAACCCTTGCTCCACTTTCTGATCCCTTCCCACCCCAAGAAGAGAGCCCTCCAACCTGGCTCCTTGAACTCCCCTAACATCCATAAGGTATCTGGGCAGAGCAGAGGCAGCCCTGTGCCTCCAGGGCACTGTGGGAGATGTAGTTCAGGCATGTCCTGGGACAAGCTCCAGGAAGAGGGGCTGCATTTCCCTTGCCATCCACCCTCACAGACGTGTATCCATTCTTTTAGTCTCATAAATATGAATGATCACTATGAATGATAGTTGGAGTCATGGCTGGGCATGCTGGGAGTCCCCTCCCCACCTCCACTGCACCCCACACACCTGAAATATGGATGCCCTTGAGGTCGACAGCTTCTCCAAGCTGGGAGAGGGAGGAGAGAGAGCAGAGAGCAGAGAGGCGGAAACAGAGTCCAGTTACACAAAGCGCCCAAAGAAGAGAGTGAGGAGGACGGAAACGGAGGCAGAGCGGAGACAAAGGCAGACAGGGAGGGGCAGGGCGGGAGAGGATAGGAGAGGGGAGAGGGAGAAGGCACGGACCCCCGAGTGACAGACAAGACACCTCGTGACTCAGAGCCCAACAGATGCCAAAAAAGTCCTAGCACGCACCCCCTCCCCAGAGAGGCTAGAGTCCAGTTACACAAAGCGCCCAAAGAAGAGAGTGAGGAGGACGGAAACGGAGGCAGAGCGGAGACAAAGGCAGACAGGGAGGGGCAGGGCGGGAGAGGATAGGAGAGGGGAGAGGGAGAAGGCACGGACCCCCGAGTGACAGACAAGACACCTCGTGACTCAGAGCCCAACAGATGCCAAAAAAGTCCTAGCACGCACCCCCTCCCCAGAGAGGCCTTAAATGAAAGCGGAGTGACACACCCCCTTCTTCCCGCGGTGAGCGGTGGGGGAAGGGGTCAAGGGGAGGAAAAGCCAGAAAAGAGGCTAGAAGATAGGAGAGACCTGAGGAGTAGAGGCAAGGCGACAGGATGAAGCAGGGCGGAGGCAGGGAAGGAGGAAGACGTACCTGCGAGCTGTGTGTTCGTGTTGGGTGGGGGGCCCTACGGGACTGCGGCCCTGCAGCAGCGGGTGGTGCTGGAGGGGAGTCCCGCTCTTCCCTCAGCCCCTTTCCCCGAGTGGGGCGGGGGAAGCAGGAAGGAGGGAGATTCCGAAGGAAGCTGTCTGTTTGGCAGGGGTCCCCCTGGACACTTGACTCTGGAGACAGATGGAAGCTTAATGGCGACGGGGTAGGGAAGGGATGAGGGGAAGGCGCCTCTGAACACCTAGGCAAAGTCCGGGTGTCAATTTTCTAGGTCACAGGCTGAGAGGGGGGCGGTGGCCTTCCGCCGTGGAGGAGCTAGCCAGCCCCCACCCTCCAGGCCTGGCGCCCCCCTACCTCGCCGGAGCCGGAGCGAAAGGTGCCGAGAGAGGGGTCACCCCGGAGCCCTGAGGGTCAAGCTCGGATGACTCGCGGGGCCCGGAGAGAGGTCCCAATCCGGAGTGCGAGAGCGAAAGTGGGATCTGCGCTGCGGCTCGGTCCGGCGCGCGGGCTGGGCGCACAGCGGTCGGGGTCCGGGGGGCCTGTGGCTCCCGCCGGGAAGCTCGGGCTCAGCCACCGCGGTCGCTCCGAGGGGCGGAGACCCCGGCGACACAGAGAAAACCCGGCACGGATGCAGAGCGGACTCGGGACCAGCTGGGGGCTGGCGGGGCGCGAGAGCAGGTGCCGGGGCGCTGCGGTCCCGGCGGCGGGCGCGGTCGGGTGGGCTCAGGTCCGGCGGAGGAGACTGAGTCGCGTCTCAGCGGGGAAGTGGGACTGAGGGTGGGGAAGTGTCTCGAGTTTGGGCGGCGTGGGTGATTGCTGACTTAGCTATCGCCCCAGGTCCCGCGTCAGTATGCTCGGTCCGGGTGTCCTTACCGCCCCGCAGTTCTCCTGCTCCAGGGGCCACCCCCTCAATGTAATCCCCTCCCTCCGCCAGACAAGTTAGAGCATAGCAGCTGGAAAGAGGACGCGGAACCGATGGCCCTGGGAAGCGGGTCGGAGAAACTGACAGAGGAGATTAGAAACCCGCGCAGATCGGGAGGAGAGACTTCCAGACACAGAAGCAGAGCGGCGGAAAGGAGAGGAGCGACGTGCCAGGTCAGAGGGTCACCACTCCGGGGTCGTAGAGCAGAGCAGCCTGCCCCCGGGGCACCGGCCGGCCCAGCTCACACTCGGCCGCCCACCTAGCACCTGCCGTCGGGCAGGAAGGCTCCCGCAGGGCAGCACGCAGATAGGCTCCAGGGACACCCGTGTACACCCGACCGAGCACACGCACGCCCTGGGGGGTGGGTCTTGGCACCCCGTGCTAACCCGGGTTCGGGGAGGAAGGGTGGGAGGAAGAATGAAGTGTGGACCTGGAACGGAGTGGTGGCAGCGCTGCCGCTGACTCTAATAAACAGGCGGCCGGCCCCCAGCTCTTAGCCCCACACCTCTACGAAGTGAGCTAAATACACATGCAGTTCTGCTCTGTAAGGAACAGAGAAAATGATGGATACAAAAGCGCTTTAGTACCTGAAAAATGGTTCAGAACATCAAGGTCGGCTGCGAATGGGAGCGCCATCCCTTTGTCCTCCCTCCAGGGCCTGCCCAGCTCCCGCGCTTCCCCCTCCACCAAAGTTGATCTTTCACCTATCTCATTCCATCTTTGCCCGTTTCAAGGTGATAACTCTATAACCTGGTAAACAGATCTCATTGGCTATGCTAATGTAATAAGGTGGAGGATCATGTTCCTGGGCTAGTGCACACAGCCACACCAGGGACTACAGGATGAGTGTCATCTCTTGAATTCCAGGCGCAAATAGGCCAATAAGTAACTGACAAGTCACTCAACCTTTTTGCTTTCAATAAAACTTCCTATTTATGATTTTTGAAACTAACACACTATGTATCTCCCAAAATTCCAGTTAAGGTGGAATATGCTCATTGTACAAAAGCATCTAGAAAAGTTTAAGGTGTTGGAGGAGAGTCATGAGTGGCAAAAGGGAGAAGCAATCATATACAATCCCTCCCTCCCTCTTCATAAGAACCCTCGCCTTCTGCCCCCAAAAACTCTTGGATTGGTCCAACATTCACCCATGTCCCTTTCCCTCAGCCAATCAAAATTGAAGGTTTCCCAAAGCTCCAATCCCCTCTTGTTCAATCAATACCGTCACTTCTCATTGGGCCAATCAAAAGCTCTCTGGTTCCATGCTCAGACTTCTTCCATCCCAATTCCTTTGGTGGATGGAGGGCAGTGATAGTTAAGAAGTTAAAAGACAACTACTCTTCTGGGTGCTGCTCCCAGCAAGAGAAAATAAGAAGCTTCAGTATCCTTAAGTGCTCTGAGGATGCCAGGAGGTGGGCTATCACCCTGGGCTACGAGGTCAAGGCTGGTGGGGGAGGAAGATGATCCACTGGTTGAGAGGTGAAAGCGCTGGCTTCGCAGGCCTGAGTCTCACTGGGGGTCATGTCATGTGAGCCACAGAAACATCCAGAATGCTTAGAAAGCACTTCGCTTAATCCTTACAATACTGTAGAAGGGGTGGGATTGCTTAGTCACTTTAAAAATGAAGTGAGTGGATTTGGAGAGGTTTCACAACTTGGGCTAGATCCCACAGCTTGCAAAGGACACTATCATTTAGATCCTCTGACTGCAAACTCAGGCCCTGCTGCCCACTACCCCTCAGAAGTCAAGTGTACTTTGCAAACTATAAAACATGAAGCAAATGTCTGTGCTGTTAATGCTGTTAAGATTTCATTCTTAGTCTTTCTGAATTTTGTAAACACTGTCTTGTACCTGGGGTCCTAAGTTTTGGCTTTGACCCTTATGTTGGGCTTATCTCTTTGGGTCTTTCCTGGGGGTGAGCCTGCTGTTTGTCTCCTCTCTGGGTCAGGTATGCCTTACTGGCAGCAGATGGTACTGCTGCTGTCATTTCAGTTGGGCCCACCCTCTGCTGCCCTTCCCATCTCCCTCTTCCTCTCCCTTCCCTCCTCCGCAATGGACAACCTTGGATTTTCTTCCCTGGCCTTCTGAACACCTCTGCATCATGGGATTCTGGTGCCCATGACTTTCTCTTCCACATTTTTGGTTTGTGAGTGTTCTCCTCTTTGACTCCTCTTCTCCCTCTGGCTCTCCAGCTGTGAGACAAAGCTGAGTCCCCTGGCCTCCCCCGATCTAGTGAATCCCCTCTGTGGGCAACTCCCCAATCTGTGAGTCAAGTCTTGTCTTTCCAGGCTGTGCTTAGACAGGAGCAGTGAAAGAAAAGATGTGAAAGTACTTTACAAGAATGAATCTGGATGCCTCATACACTTCCTGTTGTACGACCTTCACAACCAGTTCATTTTGCAGATCAAGAAGGAGACCAAAGATCAACGGGTTAAGTAATTGGCCCAAAGTCACAGAGCCAGTGAATGCCTCAAAGCCTTACTCCAAATTATAGAACTGAAGAGAGTCGTCCATATCATCCCAGAAGGCCAGGTCTCACAGATGCCACACACTCATGGGGACTCACAGTTTCCTCTTCTGTAAAGAGGGCATAGCACCTAACTTCCAGTAACTGAATAAGATAATGCATGTCATAGCACAGAAGTTCAATTAATGGTAGATGTTATGATGTAGCCAGCTGGAGCATCACTTCTCCAGTGGGGTGCATTACACTTGCACACTGGAATTCAGACATAACCAGAAGCATCTCTTGTTTATTTATTCTTCCATCAGGACTATCAGACTGTAGGAACTTCATGAATCAGGGAATGGAAAGATGGAAAGCCACTGAACTTGACCATGAACTCTTAGAACAGGGTTACAGCACTATTATTTTTATATCTCTGGCACTTAGTTCAAGTCTGGGCACATAGTAGGTGCTTATAAGTATGTTATAAATGAATGACTTGAATCTACTTCTGCATTTGGGGAAACTGAGACTAGACTGATCATTTATCAAAGATCACCCAACTGGATAGAGGTAAAACCAGAATCCTGGTACCCTAAACCAATACACAACCCACTCTACAGCCTCACACTGCATTTCTAAAGGTCAAGTGTGACTGCATGCTTCACAGTCCCTGTAAGCTCACATCTCTCCCCTAATCATCCAGTTCCTCTCCAGCCATAAACCAACACTGACTGTAATGTCCTTCATTTATTAATCAAGGATTAGTGTCATTTTCTATGGACCTGGTTTATTCCACTTCTGCTTTCAAGGAGCTCAGTCTATCTGGCTGTCAAAAAAAACCCTTTTATTCGGGAGAATATCAAACACACACAAAAACAGTGAGAAGGGCATAATGAAGCCACATTAGCCTATCATCAACTTAATAATTAATTATCCACTATAGTGTTTATACCCTAAGCTACTTCCACCTCCTGTAATATTTTGAAACAAATTTCAGACATCCTATCATTTCTCCAGTATTTCAGTAAGTCATTTTAATATCCCTATCACAGTGATATGGACAAAATTGTACCCACCTCCCCCATCTGTATATTGAAGCCCTGACCTCCCAGTGTGATTGTATTTGGAGATAGGGTCTTTAGGAAAATAATTAGAGTTAAATGAGGTCATAAGGGTGAGGCCCATGCCTTTTAAGAGGAAGCAACACTAAAGATCTCTGTCTCTCCACGCACACACAGAGGGAAGGCTGTGTGAGGAGGTGGTTGTCTACAAGCCAGGGAGAGAGCCCTCACCAGCAACTGACTCTGCCAGCACTTTGATCCTGGACTTCTGTCTTCCAAAATAGTGAGGAAGTAAATGTCTGTGTTTAAGCCCTCCAGTCTGTGGTATTTTGTTACGGCAGCCTGAACTGACTAATACACACACCTAAAGTATTTCTCTCTTGCTTCTGCTCTCTCTCCTCACTTGCTCCAGGGAAAGCCACCTGCCTTTCTTTGAGAAACTCAGATAGTCCTGTAGAGAGGCCCACTTGACAAAGAACTGAGACCACGGTCCAGCCATTAGGAATGAAAGCCTTCCAACAACCACGTGGGTGAACTTGAAAGTGTATCCTTCAACCCACTGGAGCCTTGAAATACTGCAGTCCCGGTCAACAGTTTGACTGCAGCCTGAGAACCCTCTGTCAGAATCTTCCAGCTAAGCCCCTCCCTCAGAAACCATGGGACTCATGGGTCTTGGTGGCACTAACAGGTAACTGACATGGTTGGTCTCCATTTTAGGATTCTCTTAAATCTGTAGGTTTCTGCTTCATCTCTCTCCCTTTTCAACTTACGTATTGAAGAAACACAATGGTTTGTCAGGTAAATGTCCTAGCTCTCTGGAGTCTCCTGATTACACCTCCATGATAGTGTTTCACCATATTCCTCTTGCCTCTGTTTATCCTGTAGACTGACAATTCAATCTACCTGCCCTGTCCGATATGATACTGCAATATACAGAGTCATAAGAAACACGTATTTGGTCATTCAGATGACCAAATATGTGTTTCTCGGCCACATTTGGTCTTCATCCACAGTTCCTGAAAACACTGCAGTCTTAAAGGTGAAATGGATGTCTTGTCATGTTAATGAGAGACTTTTGGACCCCCACCCAAAAGTGGGGGCTGGAGGTTAAATCAGTCAATGGTCCATGATTTATTCAATCATGACTATGCAATGAAGCCCTCACAAACACCTCTGAGAAGAGCATCTCTCTCTTGGATCCAACTTCTCTGTCGGGGAGAGCTTCCAAGCTTGGGGAAGGAGAACACGTCCACATGCCACGGAACCAGGCCCCGAGCTCCACAGGGATAGAAGCTCCTTTATTTGGGACTAACCCTATGTATCCCTTCATCTACCTGTTAAGTTGTATCCTTTTACAGTATCCTTTGTTTCCCCGAGTTCTGTGAGCAGCTTAGCAAATTAATCGAACCTAAGGGGTAGGTTGTGGGAGCCTCCAATCTGTGATAGTTCAGAAGCACAGGGAACTGCCTGGGGCTTACAACTCGTGTCTGGAGTCAGAGGGTGGAGGGCAGTCTTGTAGGATGGAGCCCTTAACATGGGGAGTTTTGTGCTGTCTCTGGGCAGATAGTATCAGGATCGCATTGAGCTCTCGGACACCCTGCTGCTGTTTGAGAATTGCTTGGTGTGGAGTGTGTGAGAAGACCCCACCTCAANTCGTGTCCAGGGACCTGAAAGGCATTATACTAAGTGTATACTAATACTATTATTGTTGTGTGTGAAAAAAATACACAGGTAGCCATTAGCCATGTGTGGTTGTGGGCACCAGAAATATGGCTGATGCAACTGAGGATCAGAGCTTTTTATTTCATTTAATTTGAGTTAATTTAGATTTTAAAATGGATAATTGATCCAGTTATTGGAAAGCTTTTAGGTACATTCAGAACAACTTTTTCAGTTGTGAATCTACTTCTTCATTGAGAATTTTATAAGTTTTAAATATGGATCAAGCATTTCCAATGGATGTTTAGTATCCAAATTGAACTATGGCCTAAGTGTAAAATACAAACCAGATTTCAAAGACAGTCCAGAAAGAAAGTATGGAAAATGTCTCATTACTATTTTTATGTTGATCACCTATTGAAATAATATTTTAGACATATTAGACTAAAGAAAACATTATTAAATATAATTTCACCAGTTTCTCTTTGCCTTTTGAAAGTGGTTACTAGTAGAAAGTTTCAATTATATATGTGACTCCCATTAAATTTCTTGCTAGCAGGTTGCACTTTTCGGTAGGTGATGTTGCATTTTTCCATTAAAGACTCAAATCTGGTTGTCTTGTTGGAATCTTATCAGGCATTGATGCTCAAGACTTTAAATCCAGTCAGTTTGTAGGGGCTGCACAAGGTTGTTCATTTTACTGGCTGGAATATGCCTATAAAAGGAAACTTCTCCTCTGCTGTAATCACCCTGAAGCACAGCTTGTAAAGAGAAGACAGAACAAGTGCTTAAATACTTTCCCTGTATTTGTTAATTTTCAAAATGATGAGTCAGTTCCTCAGCATCTTTCGATGGCGATCAATTATTGTTTTAAAAACTCTCATGAACTGATGGGTTTTAAAGATGTTTGATGTGATACAATTTAATGCAAATACTGTCATTATTAATGCTCGAGTTATCAAGCTGTCTGAATAAATCGGTGTTTTAAAGCAACACAGAAGGGTCGTGGTAGATCTTTAGGAAGAGTGACCAGGAGGCAGAGGAGGGGACTGCGTGGACCAGCCTGGCAGGTTGGCAGGTCATGGGGTGTCCAGGTACTGGCAACTAAACCTGAGTCTTAAAATTTCTCTCCAGATGATAAAGAAAACCAGGGTGCCTCCTGCAGGAGGGGGCAGGCTGAGCACAGCCCAGTGCTGAAAAACAGCCTGCTTTGCCAGAGCAAGCAGTTCTGGGTTGCATCCATTCTGTAAGCTTCTGCCCGCCGGCCAGAGGGAAGGCTTGAGCAGGAGCGACTTGCCTTGTGAGTAGAGTCAGCCCTCTGGTGGCCACATGAAGGATGGCAGGCAGGGAAGAAGCCCCAAGAGGCAATGAGCTGAGCTCCTAAGGCTTCTTTAGCTCTCATATAAGTTAGACTCTTCAGATCACGAGGAGAAACCAGTGTTGAGCTTATTACCCAGCTACATGGGAGGAGAAATGGTACAGAGAAGCTCCTTAATGGCTCTGTATTGTGGGGCCCAGGCCTCTTGAAAATAAAATGCAGAATTGTCTAGTGATCCAACTTCTCTCTGAGCACCTGGCAACGTGCTCCTCTCCAAAGAGAAGATCCCATGGCCAGTGCTGGCCACACCCAATATGGAGCATTCTTTTTCTAATTTTCACAAAGACCACCTCTGGGTGAGGGTAGCCCCCAGGACCAAGCAGACAGCACTTTGGTGTGAATTTTTTAAAGGCATCTCTTGTGGATTTGTGTCCCCTCAAAAGACAGGTTGAAGCCCTCACCCTTAGTACCTGTGAAGGGGATCCTATTTGAAAACAGTTTCTTTGCAGATGGAAATCAAGTTAATAGGAGGTCATACTGAATAAAAGTGGGTCCCAATCACATATGACTGGGAAATTTGGACACAGGAACAGAGGGAGAAGGTTATGTGACAACAGAAGCGGAGACTGGGTGTCGCAGCTACAAGCCAAGGATTGACAGCTACCACCAGGAGCTAGAAGAGGGAAGGGTTTCCCTTCTATAGGTTTCAGTGGCAGCATGGCCCTGCTGACACCTTCATCTGGCCTGCAGAACTGTAAGTCAAGACATTTGTGTTTTTTGGAGTTACCAAATGAGTGGTACTTTGTTGTGGCAAAGCTTCTTCTGGCTTTGTGAGGGGAACTCCCCTTTGCCCCCATCCCAAGTGGGACATCCTGGCAGCAGGGCACAACCTTCAAACCACGTGGCTGATTCCCTCTGCACTAGGGCTCTTGGACGCCCTTCATTCATTCAGAACCCACCATGTCCCAGGCAGTGTAATCACCATGACATGGTCAAAATGCAAAAACAGACAAGCCACATTTCCTGCCCTTAATCTTGGCATTGAGTAATAGGAGATGAAAGATAATGAATAAGCCCTGTTTGGTGTGGCAAAAAATAATGTGACCACATAATGTAATTCTCGTGATGTATTAGGTAAAGATTTTGTGGAAAAGAGGTGGACCGGGTAACAGTGACAGAGGCTAACATGTATTGCGCACCCTGCCAGGTGCCATGTCATAGTGAGGACATTATGGTGTGCCTGGCTGGCTGAGGTTCAGAGACATTCCGTGTGCCTACCAAGGTCTGCACAGAGGAGGAGCTGATGGTGTGACTTGATGGTCAGAGTTCCAAGCATGGTGGGCAGGACTCCAGTTAGAAAGGAGAGCAGAGTTAGGGACGCTTGGGAAGCTGGGTTGGGCTCTGTTTGGGGGGTACCTCAAATGCTGTGCTGAGGTTACACCTTCTAACAACAGGGATCCAGTGACAGTGAGAAGGGAGAATGACGTGATGAAAACAGGGTTTTAGGAAGAGCGTCTTGGTAGCATGAGAAGGTTTTAGATGGGAGATAGGCAAGACCTCTGATCTCTAAGGAGTGGAACCAGAGAGAGTCCATGGGAAGGCAGAAGAGGCCAGAATATCTGATGGGCATTCAGAAGTGGGAAGGTGATTAGGTGAATTTGGCATTTCCAGCGTGTAATTAGGCAATGATGACTGGTGACAGCAAGCAGTTCCGAGTACAGGGTTCACAGGCTATGCAGATGCCATGTTCTGTCTGCAGACAGGCTGACTTTTCAGGGCCAGAGGGATGAGCAGCGGGGAGAACGCACAGTCTGACCACTCTGTGGCCTGCTGCTCCCCCACAGTGCTGACATGACCCATGGGCCACTTTGGGTCCTCAAATCCAGATCCTGTGTCAAGCCTCCCCTTGAAATATGTGCCTTCCAACTCTGTCCTATTTCTGTTCCTGATAAATGACCATTATCACACAACACCAGGTCAGCCATGTGGCACATTTTACCTGTGAGGACCTAGGACTTGGAGGCTAGAACCAGAAGGGACAGTCGCCTGCACTGAGTTCTGGGCTCAAGCTCATCCTGTTTAGGGTCTTGATTATTCCTGGGGCCTCCAGCATTGATCAGGGTCTGGCACCCATCAGCTAAGCTCAGCCCATGGCTAAGTGTATGGTTGAGTTTGGGGAATTTAGTTCCAACTTGGAACCCACATGACAGCAGCTGCTGGGAAACAGTTGACTGATGAAGGCCAATCTGAGTGTCTCACCTGGCTTCAGTCCAGCAGGCTGTACCCCTTGCTTGGATGTTTTGGTCTGGGGTCTGCACAGACTGATGGGATGTGTGTGACATGGACCTGGTACCTGGACTCTCCATTTTTCTCCATACAAAGCTCCAGCTCTTTAGACTAAATCCCACCCAAGGCAGAGGCCTGATGAGAGAGGGCTAGAAGCCAGATGACAGAGAGTAAACAGGACTAGGGGGGCCCCTACCCTCAGTGAGGCTAAGCAGAGCACAGCCTGCATCAGAGGTCACCTGGGGAGACTCTGGGAATTGTGGGAGACACCAGAGGCCCCCCTGAAGCCTGTGGCTCCCTCCCATTCTGGGCTGGCTCCCTGGAGAGGATCACACACTCAGAGGAAGGTGGGTGGTGGTGGGTGGAGGCTGCCTGAGGTCTGTCACAGAGGACAGGAAGGATCCCAGGCTGGCATGATGAACAGGGAAGTGATACTCATCTCTCCACTTAAATTATTAATGGGGGTGTGTGTGCACACCTGTCATTGCCCAGGGTGTCATTTCCTCCTCCCTCCTTCCCTCACAGTCTTAGTGCGACCCTCAGCAGTAACAACACATTCTACTTGTCACATCTCATCTCCAGCACCCGCATATGGATGCCAAGTCTCTCTCCCAGAGACAAAAACCTGATCATGACCATCCTGTACCTTTCTGGTTTGTGTTGTGGCCTCTTTCCCAACCCAGGTGTTTTCACATGGAGGCTAATGTACCCATCTGATTCTTCCCCTTTCCACTGGGATCAGACCTGACCCCTTTCCTGAGAAATTTGCCCAACTGGCTTCCTGGGTACTACAAGCACTTCCCTCCTTTTGACCATCTCTCTGCCTCTAAGGCCAACACATTTCTTAAATGGACCTTCTTGACTTCTCCTGTTCCTTTCCAGCCTCAAGCCAATCCTCTCCCTGCACCCCATGACTTCAGTAGTTTGGTGTTTCAGACAGGGGCCTGATGGGAATGAACACCCCAAGATCCCCATCAGTCCCACACAAAGGTCCCATTCCTCACCTACCACCCAGCCCAACACCACAGCCCAGAGAGAGGCACCCACTGCTCATGGGGAAGAAGCACAGGGGCTTCTTGGAAGAAGGCCCCCAGGGATCCAATCCCCACACTCCCAGCTTTGGGTGGCCAGTTCTTACTTGAAGCTGGTGCCTTGACCCCCAGGGTAAGAACCCAGAGAAACACACATGATGCCGACATTGAAGTTTGGGCTGAGGCATAAAGGTACAATACATAGGTCCTGCATTCCCAAAGGGGCCAGGCCAGACCTATGCAACATTTTCCAAGCAAAGGGTTGAGAAGCAACTCTTGAGCTCCTCACCCATGACAAGGATTAGAGTTTGGAGATGAAGAAGAGGTGGGTTTGGGGGGACTTCAAGAGCTGCAAGCCCTACCTGCAAAAGGCAAAGTTGACCTCAGCAGGATCAGTGGCAAAGGTTTCAATACTCAAAGAACTTGGCATGTCCCCAGGGTTTGAAGGAGGTGCCCTCTAGGGAAACCTATCTGCCACATTGTGGCTGACTAGGTATTCCCTTCCAGGAAAGAAGGAAGGGCATGTGGCTGCATCAAGGCCAAACAGCGCTCCAATGGTATCTGGACCAAGGATGCTCAAACCTGGAGCTGTATTTTCCATCTCTCTCCCCATTCCCCCAGCCTAGAAAAGTGATGGGCCTGCTAAGGAGACAACCTATGTTGAGTGCATGGGCAGAAAACCAGGGACAGATGAGGAGGCAGAGAAAGCATGGAAGCTGCCAGAGGATCCTTAAAGGGAATACTCTGAAGAATTCATGAGAGGACTGACCCGTGAGGAAGAGATCAGCTTCAATGATCTGGAGACCCAGAGAGCACAAAGCTATCTTATGACAGTGCGGTAAGAACTTTTGGGTTCCCTTTCCCCTCTTCTGCCCCACGCTCCAGCCCACAGGGTTCAGTAAAAGCGCCTAGCAAGGGAGGGAGAGGAAAGAGGTCAGTCACACTGCTTTCTGCTCTACCTCCCCGCATCTTCTGGCCAAGCAGGCAGGCTGCTTGCAGTTAGCCTTTGGGGGAGAGGAGAAAATTCCTACCCTTGAATGAAGACTGAAGTGTTAATTACTCCAACTACAGATTTCTGTGTACCAGCTTAAAGTGAATGTAGAACTTATCACCTGAGAATGACCCAGATAAGTCATGGGACTGCTCATATTTTTATCCAGGGACAAGAGAAAATTGTTCCACTGAATACATTTTATAGGACAGTGGGGGACAAATATAGTTGCATTGCGACTGTATGCCATCAAGTCATTCTTGGTTAAGTCCCAGGTACAGACACAAAGCCAGTTGGCAAATAGATCTAACAACAGTCAGCAGATGCTGTGACCACATAGGGACAGTAGACTGCTTAGTCTTGCCCTCCAGTTTGAGATGCCATGCCTATGATCGTGACGGTAAGGACAGCAAGCTCTCCTCAGCTCGTATTTTGGCCATCTCTGCTCTAAGCCCTAAATCTTAATTCTTCGATCTTCATGACAGTCCTATGCTTATTGAGCAAGTGAGCTAAGGTCAACCTGATCCTGGGCTCGCAGTCAGGTTTAATTCAGGTAAAATAAATCCTTGCTTCATACGATTGCCCAGCCCCAGGAGAACATGAAGGATGGGGAAGGGGTGCAGAAAAAGGCTCTGTACCTATCTCTATCTTTTCTACCTCTGGAGATCATTCCAGTCTCCTTATTGTCAGGTATCCTGAACCAAGCTCAGCTTTTGCTGGTGACATTCTGCCACTCACCTTCTCTTCTCTATCTACGTTAGTTTTGCTCACCCTTCAAAGTCGACTCCTCCTTGGAGCCATTCTCCCCAACTCAGTCCTGAGGCTCTACTGGTCTCACCTAAGCAGATGCCTTCATTTACAGGGAGAGAAGGGGCCCAGCAAAGGGAAAAGACTTATGCAAGGTCATGCAGCAGAATCAAGTCTTGCTGGGAGGAGAATTCAAAGTCCTGATACCCAGTCTAAGGCAGCAACTTGGTAATATATTAGGATGGGGGTGGATTAGGTCTGGACATGTTCACTTGTAGAGCGAGAGCATGAGCTCTTCAGACACCCAGTTCTACGAAAGTAGTAGTGGGAGAGAACTAGCTTTTATTGGGGTCACAGAGCACAGCAGCAGGTGGAGGAGTCAGTGTAGCAGGCTCAGCAGCTCAGGGACTGGTGGAGTCAGAGCCAGGGCTACATGAAGGTGAGATGCATAGCAGCAGGGACGCCATAGCTTTCCTTGTGCTCCTCAGACAGTTGCTCCAGAACCTTCATGTAGAGCATGTGGTAGTGGTCAACTTCTTCCTGAGTGAGGCTGAGGCTTTGGGGTACCAGGATGGGGTGACCCACTGCAGGGAGAGGGGAGACACATGCGAGGGGAGAGGCCTCTGCTGCCCCCACAGCTGACCGCAGCTTTCTTCCCTGGAGACGGGTACTCACCCACAGTGGTGATGGGCATCGTGAAGGGCAGCAAGCCCCAGGAGTTGGAAAAGAGACTGTGGCCCCAGAAGATGCAGGGAGAAAAGCCCACACATTTCTTGAAGGTGATCTGGCACAGATACTGCCAGGAGTCTGTTGCAAAAGCCTTAAGTCTGAAGATATCATTTTCTCCAAAGTTGTATACAGGCACCAGGGAGGCTCTGGGAGGGGGCAGCAAGAGAGAAGAGGGGTGGTCAAGCCAGCAGCTCTGGGAGTGCCCCAGGATGGGACGCTCAGAGGTATGTATTCCTTGCCATACGTCATGAGTCCACTTTGCAAAGCCTTTTGAAGCAAATGACAGTGGCTACAGAGGAAAATCTGGAAGATAGGACTCATGTTTCTTGAGAAATGATTGTGTCCTGGGCCTTCATACACCCAGTCTTTACAACTACAACCTCATTGCAAGGTAGCTAATAACTGTTTCACAGGTAAAGAAACACCCAGGGTCTTGCCTTTGAGATTGTGTCAGAAAGGGATTTGAACCCAGGGCTTCTGAGTCCAAGAGCCCATGTGCACTACAGTCCTGCCTTTCAGAGAGGGAGGAATCTTGGCAGTGAAAATGGGCACAGTGCTTGGTACAAGTACCATGAGCACCCTCCAGGTGTAGGGCACAGTTCAAGGTCTGGGCACTCACAGTCCTACCTACAAGGACCCAGGTGCATAGGACAGAGTGTGGACTTCCGATTGCGAAGAACAGGTCTGGGCTAAGAACCTGCTGCCAACTCACCCATGCCTCAGTGCCAGGCGCACGAAACCTTTGTGATTCTGGAGAGTGAGGTAGTGCTGCCCTTGGATGGCATACAAGGACTCTTGGGCACCCCCAACCAGGATGACCACAGCCTGCCCAAGTTGGGACCATGAGAGGATAAAGTCTAGGCTCTGGCGGGCCACCGAACACAACCCTGCAGGCATAAGGAGGTAGGGAGCTGTCACCACCCTCTCCAGCTCCTTAGCCCCTCACCACCCTCTAGTACAGGAAGGCTGCGCCCCACATCCCATTCCTTCTAACACATCCCATGCTGCCATGCCCTACAGTGCCTCTTCCAGCAGGGATGCAGGACACTTGCTCCAAAGCTAGTCACTGATGCCCGCTGTGAGCCTGGCCAGTATTCAGGCCAGGTCCTGCACTGGGCGGGTGGAAGGCACTCCGCCAGGGGGCACCTCCTCCCACTCAGCTCAAGGCTCACCACTCCACAGGGCATCCAGGGGAAAAGAGTTGTCCTCCCACCCAACAGTCTTCGGTGTTCAAGGTCCTAGGGTGGGGCCAGCCAAACAGGGCACCCACTCTTGAATACCACTCCACCTCCCACCCCTATGCACTGCCCTACTGTTTGAGCTTGTCCAGCTGGGGGAGCATAGGGAGGGAAGGGTGGCTGTGGCGGGGGGTGGGGGGAGAGGAAGGAGGCAAAGAGTCTCTCTGGAGGGTGACCTGTCACCTTGATAGGATAGTAGTCCCATTGGTGCTTCCAAATGACACAATTCCTCAATCACTCGAATTGCCTTCCGCCTTAGGGCAGAGAGATGGGTGCCAGGGTCCTTGGAAGCAGCCAACCGCCATTTCTCATTACCGGCCGCCCCAGGTCCAGTACTCACCTTGGTTGGGGGTGTCCCGGTCCAGGAACAGCCACAGTGAGTAGAGAACAGAAAGCAACCAGAGTGAGGTGAAGAGGAGAAACAAAAGGAGGGAGAAGAAAGGGCCTGGGTGAAAGAGGAGGAAGAAAAATGAATTGCTTTTCAGACTCGGTCTCATCCAGCTGCTCCCCTCACCCACCTTATCTGGCGGCCTCCCAGCATAACCTCTAGCCCTCTCTAGCTCCCTTTACCCTCAGGCATCCAGGCAAGTGGGGCTCCAGCTTTCTCTCCTAGTCCTTCCCTCCTGTTGGCACCCGTGCCTCCCCGCCCCCCCCCCCGCCGCCACTGGCCCATGCCTCCAGGCACTCTTGCCTCCCCCCCCCACTCACCCACGAAGAGGAAAAGGAGCACATAATAGTAGGCGGCCATTGCTTCCAGCCACTGCTTCTGCAGGGTTTTCACGGTGGGGGTGGGCGGCGGGGCTGTGGAGACGCGCATCCTAGTAGTCCTGTGTGAGCAGGGCTCCAGCACCCAGAACACAGAAGCTGAAGCTGTGGGTGCAGGTCTGGGAAGGCTTTCTTGTCCTGGACACCCAGCCCCTGGGGCCTCCCGGGAATGCGTGTGGTGTCAGGGCTGTGAGGATGAGGAGCCCCTTGGATTAGGAGCATCAGCGGTCTCCAGGCTCCTCCTCATTGATCTTTGAACTGCCAGCATCTGTTGGTCTGGGCTGACCGCTGGGAGGGACTCGGCGGCGGAGGTGGGGGGTGGGGGGGCGTTGCGAAGGAGGGGAGGCAACCCGGCGCCCTAGGAACTGATGGGGCGGGGACCCAGAATTGGCAGGAGAGCCCACCCACTGGGTCCCAGCTGCTGGGGGGCGGGGCGGGCAGCAGCCCAGGTGAGTCTGTCGGGTCTCGGTTACGGCCGAGAGGACGCCTGACACGCGCCTCGGATCTTGCAGGTCCCGGGGTGTCCAGGCTATTCAAGGCGCGGGCCGGCGTGGTGGCAGGTCTGGCCCTGAGGCGCGCGAACTGCCTCTTGGTGCACAAACACACAGACACCGCAGCTTTGTTCCCACCTTTAATTTCACTCCCCACCCACAGTCCCCGAGGTGAACGGGTAGGGTTCCGGAGCCGCCTAGGTGAAGAGGAGGTGCCTGTCCTCGGGGACACCGTAGCGCGCCTTGTGTTCCTCGAACAGCTGCGTGAGCGGCTCCGCGTGCAGCTCCGTCACCTGCGCCCGGTTGGGCCGCAGGTTCCGCTGCATCGGGATCTGGGCCCCCACTGTGGGCAGAACAGGGACGAGAGGGGCGGTGGCTGGGATGTCGGTCCCGTTCCCTCAGGTCTGCATTGATCGTGGGGACACAGTTGAGGGCTGGGGTTACAGCCGAAGGCCAGCCTAGGAGAGTGGGGGACTTGCGGGATAGCGCGGGGGCAAAGGCGGGGCTCACCGACTGTGTGGATGGGTGTACGGAAGGGCAGAAGGAGGCCCCGGCGGCCGTGGAACAGCGGCAGGGCCACGCTCGGCAGCGGCGGCATTACTTCCTGAGCCCTCCGTACCCACGAGCCCGGTGGGTTCGGGAACTGCTGGAAGAGCTCATTCTCCCCGAAAGAGAAGACAGGCACCAAGGAGGCCCTGGGGAAGCAGGGCCGCCTGACTCCTGGCCCTGCGCGCACAGCGCTCCTCCCCACAAGGCAGCAGGGCGGACTTCTCACCCGTGTTCCAGCGCCAACTTGATAAATCCCTTCTGAGTCCGGATACGCAAGCTCAGCGCTCCGGGCTTTGTCTCCAGCGCCTCCAGGGGTCCTCCCACTGCCAGGACGGCCACCTGGCCACCTCTGGGCCGGGACAGCAGATAGGCTGCGCTGGCCTTGTCGGAGGACACCAAACCTGGGGGCAAGACAAAAGCTGGGTGACCTGACAGCCAGGTCTTCTAGAACAGAAGAGGGAGGAGGGCACCGGGAAGGTGGAGTGGGACCAGGAGTTCCCCAAGACTGGAGGTGCATGAGATAGGATGTGACAGCAGGGACTAGGGTTTCTGAGGCCAGACTCTCCCTCTCACCAGCGCACATGATGTAGTCCCGGGAGAGAGGCAGGTGGAAGCAGCAGGGCAGCATGAGCAGGTGTGGCTGGAGGCCAGGGAAGAGGTGGGAGAAGCCCATGGCCTCTGTGCAGAAGTTGCCAAAGGCCCCAAGGACCAGGATCCCATGAGGGTGGAAGCCAAAGAGGTAGTTTTGGGAGGGATGCAACTCTGCAGTTTTAACCAGCTGGGGGTGCAGAGAGCACACCCCCATCCTCACCATGAGACTGTACTTTGGGGATGAGTTTGGAAGAGTCTATTCTGAAGGTCCACCCTCACTCAGCACACCAGTCCCTGTGCTCTCACCGAGAGGGGAAAGTAGTCCTGGAAGTGTCTCCAGATGGCCCAGTTCCGGACCCAGGCAGAGTGGCGGCCTCCTGTCCTTGGCATGTCCCTGTGCTCATAGAGCCACATCAGGTAGAGGACGGCCAGGATCCAGGCCCGGCCTAGGAGTGCAAGGAGCAGCGCAGCCAGGCACACCTGGGCTACAGCGTGGGATGGGCTCACTCAGGACCCAGGCAATTAAGTCCCAGGTCCCCCTCTGCCACCTCCTCTGTTTCATGGCTTCAGGCCCTTTGACCCCACCTGATTCTCACTCCTTCAAGGACCTCTGAGATATCTGTCCCTCCTCCCTCTTGGTGATGGGGTAACAGAGCACCAGGATGGGGAACGGGAGAAGGTCCTGGTCAAAGGCTTTGGGGACTCACCCAGTCCCAAGAAGAAGATCCATTGCAGTATAGCAAACACTTGGAGACCCCGGTGGAGGCGGCTGGAGGAGGCCAGCATGCTGTGGAGGGGAATCGTGCAGGGAATGCTGTGATCTCTTAAGCACATGGCCTTTTGGCCCAGCCTGCTGGCCCTGACTCCTGGCTCTGGTTCTGACCCTGCTTCTCTGTCCTTTGCTGACCTGAACAGGGAAAAGTTAACTACCTAAGCTCACAGGATGATGGCCAATAGGAACAAACAAAAATAACCAGGGGTGTGGCCAAGAGTTGGGGGTGAGGAAGGTGTTTGGACTTGGTGGAGTCAGGACCTTGGCCTCTGTGAGCAGCCGGACTAGCAGAGTCTGGGAAAGCAGGCGACTGCCTGAGTGGTGTGTACCACCAGTAACGGGGCTCCCAACATGAGAGAAAACAGTAGGGAGCCCCTGTCACTCAGGCCTGGCCCCCAAAAGGAACTTAGGTCTCTGTGGGGAGACACTCCAGAGAGGAGGGCTTCGGGGACAGGCTGAGGATTGCTGGACCCCAAAAGAGAGCCCCACTGAGTTGTGGGCACACCCTCCAAGTGCGCTGGGGCCAGTCTTCACCATTACCATGGCCTTCCCCCAAACTGGCCAGAGGTCTGTGGAACCAGCACGTTCTCCAGGTCAGGGAATGTCACTCCATTAGGGAAGTCTGATACACACCCCATTTGGTGCCTCTGTCACATGCTCTTAGCATAAAATACTTCCCCTGTACTGCAGTGATCTCCTGATTGAGGTCTCACCCCAAGCAGTGAGCAACAAGAAGTCAGGTTATTGTGCTCATTGCTACGGCCCTCGTGACAGGTGCCCCACAGATGGGAGATACCCAGTAGATGAATGGTAGATCTGTGGGATCTCCTGCTCAAGGTAGCACATCCTTTCTGTCCCTGTCCCCTGCCTCACTCTCATGCAGGCTTCCTCATCCAGGGAACTTGCCAGAAGGCATTTTCTCCTGTCCTTCCTCAGCTCACTTCCATCCACAGGGCATGCAATGAGGGTAGAGAGGACCAGGATGAGATAGACTTAAAAGTCTGTCCAGAGAAATCATCAGTCCACACAGAAAGGTGGCCCACCCAGGTGACCAGCCCCACCCACCAGGAGGGAAGTCTTTGTTAGAGGAAGTTTTCCTGGGAGTTTGGGCAAGAAGAAGGAATAAGGTGTGAATGGCAAGATAGGTACCAGAGTCAGGAAACGCCCTGGGAAAAGTAATAGGCTGTTGGGTTTTTAAAAAAATTTTTTTATTAAGGTATGATTGATATACACTCTTATGAAGGTTTCACACGAAAAAACAATGTGGTTACTATATTTACTCATATTATCAAGTCCCCACCCACACCCCAATGCAGTCACTGTCCATCAGTGCAGCAAGTTGCCAGAGATCCACTATGTGCCTTCTCTGTGCTACACTGTTCTCCCCATGATCCCCCACACCATGTGTACTAAACATAATGCCCCTCAGTCCCCTTCTCCCTCCCTCCCCACCTGCCCTCCCACACCCCTCCCCTTTGGTAACCACCAGTTCCTTCTTGGAGTCTCTGAGTCTGCTGCCATTTTGTTCCTTCGGTTTTGCCTCATTGTTATACTCCACAAATGAGGGAAATCATTTGGCATTTGTGTTTCTCCGCCTGGTTTATTTCACTGAGCATAATGTCCTCCAGCTCCATCCATGTTGTTGCAAATGGTAGGATTTGTTTCTTTCTTATGGCTGAATAGTTTTCCATTGTATATATGTACCACATCTTTTTTATCCATTCATCTACTGATGGACACTTAGGTTGCTTCCATATCTTGGCTATTGTAAAAAGTGCTGTGATGAACATAGGGGTGTCTATGTCTTTTTGAATCTGAGAAGTTGTATTCTTTGGGTATATTACAAGGAGTGGGATTCCAGGGTCAAATGGTATTTCTATTTTTAGTTTTTTGAGGAACCACTATATTTCTTTCCACAATGGTTGAACTAGCTTACATTCCCACCAGCAGTGTAGGAGGGTTCCCCTTTCTCCGCATCCTCGCCAACATTTGTTGTTCTTAGTCTTTTCGATGCTGGCCATCCTTACTGGTGTGAGGTGATATCTCATTGTGGTTTTAATTTGCATTTCCCTGATGATTAGTGATGTGGAGCATCTTTTCATGTGTCTATTGGCCATCTGAATTTCTTATTTGGAGAACCGTCTCTTCATATCCTCTGCCCATTTGTTAATTGGGTTATTTGCTTTTTGGGTGCTGAGGTGTGTAAGTTCTTTATATATTTTGGATGTTAACCCCTTGTCGGATATGCCATTTACAAATATATTCTTCTATACTGTAGGATGCCTTTTTGTTTTGTTGATGATGTCCTTTGCCATACAAAAACTTTTTAGTTTGATGTAGTCCCATGAGTTCATTTTTGCTTTTGTTTCCCTTTCTCGAGGAGATGGGTTCAGGAAGAATTTGCTCATGCTTACATTCAGGAAATGTTTGCCTATGTTGTCTTCTAAAAGTTTTATGGTTTCATGACTCACATTCAAGTCTTTAATCCATTTTGAGTTTACTTTTGTGTATGGGGTTAAACAATAATCCAGTTTCATTCTCTTGCATGTAGCTGTCCAGTTTTGCCAACACCAGCTGTTGAAGAGGCTGTCATTTCCCCATTGTATGTCCATGGCTCCTTTATTATATATTGACCATATATGGTTGGGTTTATATCAGGGCTCTCTATTCTGTTCCATTGGTCTATTGGTCTGTTCTTGTGCCAGTACCAAATTGTCTTGGTTACTGTGGCTTTGTAGTAGAGCTTGAAGTTGGGGAGCATAATCCCCCTGCTTTATTCTTCCTTCTTAGGATTGCTTTGGTTATTCGAGGTCTTTTGTGGTTCCATATGAATTTTAGGATGATTTTCTCTAGTTCATTGAAGAATGCTGTTGGTATTTTGATAGGAATTTCATTGAATCTATAGATGGCTTTAGGCAGGATGGCCATTTTGACAATATTAATTCTTCCTATCCATAAGCACATGTGCTTCCATTTATTGGTATCTTCTTTAATTTCTCTCATGAGTGTCTTGTAGTTTTCTGAGTATAGGTCTTTCACTTCCTTGGTTAGGTTTATTCCTAGGTATTTTATTCTTTTTGATGCAATTGTGAATGGAATTGTTTTCCTGATTTCTCTCTCTGCTAGTTCATTGTTAGTGTATAGGAAAGCAACAGATTTCTGTGTACTAATTTTGTATCATGAAACTTTGCTGAATTCAGATATTACATCTAGTAGTTTTGGAGTGGATTCTTTAGGTTTTTTTATGTACAATATAATGTCATCTGCAAACAGGGAAAGTTTAACTTCTTCCTTGCCAATCTGGATGCCTTTTATTTCTTTGTGTTGTCTGATTGCCGTAGCTAGGACCTCCAGTACTATGTTGAATAGAAGTGGGGAGAGTGGGCATCCTTGTCTTGTTCCCGATCTTAAAGGAAAAGCTTTCAGCTTCTCACTGTTAAGTATAATGTTGGCTGTGGGTTTGTCATATATGGCCTTTATTATGTTGAGGTACTTGCCCTCTATATCCATTTTGTTGAGAGTTTTTATCATGAATGGATGTTGAATTTTGTCAAATGCTTTTTCAGCATCTATGGAGATGATCATGTCATGGTTTTTGTCCTTCTTTCTATTGATGTGGTGGATGATGTTGATGGATTTTCGAATGTTGTACCATCCTTGCATCCCAGGCATAAATCCAACTTGATCATGATGGATGATCTTTTTGATGTATTTTTGAATTCTGTTTGCTAATATTTTGTTGAGTATTTTTGCCTCTATGTTCATCAGGGATATTGGTCCATAATTTTCTTTTTTTGTGGTGTCTTTGTCTGGTTTTGGTATTAGAGTGATGCTGGCCTCATAGAATGAGTTTGGAAGTATTCCCTCCTCTTCTATTTTTTGGAAAACTTTAAGGAGGATGGGTATTAGGTCTTCACTAAATGTTTGATAGAATTCAGCGGTGAAGCCATCTGGTTCAGGCATTTTGTTCTTAGGTAGATTTTTGATTACCAGTTCAATTTCGTTGCTGGTAATTGGTCTGTTCAGATTTTATGTTTCTTCCTTGGTCAGCCTTGGAAGGTTGTATTTTTCTAGAAAGTTGTCCATTTCTTCTAGGTTATCCAGTTTGTTAGCAGATAATTTTTCATAGTATTCTCTAATAATTCTTTGTATTTCTGTGATGTCCATAGGGATTCTGTTTATGTGTGTAGACTCTCTTTTTTTCTTGATAAGTCTGGCTAGGGTTGTATCTATTTTGTTTATTTTCTCAAAGAACCAGCTCTTGCTTTCATTGATTCTTTCTATTGTTTTGTTCTTCTCAATTTTATGTATTTCTGCTCTAATCTTTATTATGTCCTGCCTTCTACTGACTTTGGGTCTCATTTGTTCTTTTTCTAGTTTCATTAATTGTGAGTTTAGACTGCTTATATGGGATTGCTCTTCTTTCTTGAGGTAGGCCTGTATTGCAATATACTTTCCTCTTAGCACAGCCTTGGCTGCGGCCCACAAATTTTGCAGTGTTGAATTATTGTCATTTGTCTCCATATATTGCTTGATCTCTGTTTTTATTTGGTCATTGATCCATTGGTTATTTAGGAGCATTTGTGAAGCCACATGTGTTTGTCGGATTTTTCATTTTCTTTGTGTAATTTATTTCTGGTTTCATAGCTTTGTGATCTGAGAAACTGGTTGGTACAATTTCAATATTTTTTAATTTACTGAGGCTCTTTTTGTGGCCTAGTATATGATCTATTCTTGAAAATGTTCCATGTGTACTTGAGAAGAATGTGTATTCTGTTGCTTTTGGGTGTAGAGTTCTATAGATGTCTGTTAGGTCCATCTGTCTATTGTGTTGTTCAGTGCCTCTGTCTCCTGACTTATCTTCTGTCTGGTTGATCTGTCCTTCAGAGTGAGTGGAGTGTTGAAGTCTCCTAGAATGAATGCATTGCATTCTGTTTCCCCTTTTAATTCTGTTAGTATTAGTTTCACATATGTGGGTGCTCCTGTGTTGGGAGCATAGATATTTATAATGGTTATATCTTCTTGTTGGATTGACCCCTTTATCATTATGTAATGTCCTTCTTTGTCTCTTGTTACTTTCTGTGTTTTGAAGTCTATTTTGTCTGATACAAGTACTGCAACTTCTGCTTTTTTCTCTCTGTTAGTTGCATGAAATATCTTTTTCCATCTCTTCACTTTTAGTCTGTGTATATCTTTGGATTTAAAGTGAGTCTCTTGCAGGCAGCATATAGACATATCTTGCTTTTTTATCCATTCAGTGACTCTATGTCTTTTGATTGGTGCATTCAGTCCATTTACATTTAGGGTGATTATTGATAGGTATGTACTTATTGCCATTGCAGGGTTTAGATTCATGATCATCAAAGGTTCAAGGTTAATTTCCTTACTATCTAAGAGTCTAACTTAACTCACTTAATATGCTGTTACAAACACAATCTAAAGGTTCTTTTCTTTTTCTCTTCCTTTTTCTTCCTCCTCCATTCTTTATATATTAGGTAGCATATTCTGTATTCTTTGTCTATGCCTTGATTGACTTTGGGAATAGTTAATTTAATTTTGCATTTGTTAGTAATTAGCTGTTCTACTTTCTTTACTGTGGTTTTTTTCCCTCTCGTGGCAGCTATTAAACCTTAGGAATACTTCCATCTATAGCAGTCTCTTCTAAATAGACTGTGGAGATGGTTTGTGGGAGGTAAATTCTCTCAGCTTTTGCTTACCTGGAAATTGTTTAATCCCTCCTTCAAATTTAAATGATAATCTTGCCAGATAAAGTAATCTTGGTTCCAGGCCCTTCTGCTTCATTGCATTAAACACATCATGCCTCTTTGTATGTGATCTTATTTCTCTGGCTGCTTTTAATAGTCTGTCCTTATCCTTGATCTTTGCCAATTTTATTACTATATGTCTTGGTGTTGTCTTCCTTGGGTCCCTTGTGTTGGGAGATCTGTGGATCTCCATGGCCTGAGAGACTATATCCTTCCCCAGATTGGGGAAGTTTTCAGCAACTACCTCCTCAAAGACACTTTCTATCCCTTTCTCTTTCTCTTCTTCTTCTGGTACCCCTATAATGCAAATATTGTTCCATTTGGATTGGTCACACAGTTCTCTCAATATTCTTTCATTCTAGAGATCCTTTTTTCTCTCTGTGCCTCAGCTTCTTTGTATTCCTCTTCTCTAGTTTCTATTTCATTCATCGTCTCCTCTACTGTATGCAATGTGCTTTTAATACCCCCATTGTGCTCTTCAGTGATTGTATCTCTGATCTGAATTCATTCCTGAGTTCTTGGTATCTTTCCGTACCTCCATTAGTATGTTGATGATTTTTATTTTGAACTCCCTTCCAGGAAGAGTCATAAGGTCCATATCATTTAAATCTTTCTCCGGAGTTACATTAATTTTACTCTGGACCAGGTTCCTTTGGTGTTTCATATTTGTATATGATGCCCTCTGGTGTCCAGAAGCTCTACCCTGGAGCTGCTCAGCCCCTGAAGCAATGTCGGGGGTCGCAGGGGAGCGGTATTGGTGCCTGGGGGGAGGAAAGAGCTGTTCCCCGCTTCCCAGCTGCTGTGCCTGTCTCCACTGCCTAAACCAGTGGGCGGAGCACACAGGTATAAGCTTTTGTCCCAGAGCAGCTGGATATGGATCCCTGCTTTCCACAAGAGGCTGGAATCTCAGTCTCTCCAGGAATTCTGCCTATATTAGCTTTCCAACCCAGTAATCATGCAAGTATCATGAAAGCACCATGAAATGTAGGTTTGTGCTCCCAGAGCAGATCTCCAGAGCCAGGTATTCAGCAGTCCCAGGTCTTCCACTCCCTCCCTGCTCTGTTTCTCTTCCTCCCACCAGTGAGCTGGGATGGGGGAAGGGATCGGGTCCCGCCTGACCACAGCTTTGGTACGTTACCTGTTCCGTGAGGCCTGCTCTTTTCTCTGGGTGTATGCAGTCTGGCACCATCCTCTTTCCTGTTGCTCTCTCAGGATTAGTTGCGCCAACTATATTTTCTAATTGTATCCAGTTTTATGAGGAAGCCTCTGTCTCTCCTCTCACACCGCCATCTTTAATCCTCAAGGCTGTTGGTTTTTAAAGGCTCCTGCAAGGGAACCGTTGGAAAATAAATTCAGGAATATAGGCTGGTGTAAGACTGGCAGAGGCCAAGGGAAAGAAGGTTGGCCTGCTGTGCTCAGGGCACCTGGTGGGGTCTCGGCCAGGGCTTGCCGGTCCCCTAGAGGCTGGAAGCAAGGTCGGTTCTCAGGAGATCTCCTTCGTTTCAAGGCTGCTTCACATTCTCCTCTTCCTCTGGGGAAGCTTTCTCAGGATGACCATCCAGGGCTTCCCCTTTCCTGATCCCGCTAAAAGCTTAGGTCCAAGAAGCCAGTCAGGCTCCAGCCTGTCCGCACTCATTGGAGCATGTGCCTCCAGGGACCCTTCCACCCCCTTGCACTGTCCCTGGAGTGCAGCTCAGGGCTCTGCCCTGTCACCCCTCATGCAAGGGAGAAGATGCCACCAGGTGAGAATCTGTGGCAGCAGGTAGGGGGCTGGACTTCATCTGTACCTGGCCCTTCTCAGGCACTGCCCACACGTGGCAATACAGGGGAGAGAGAAATGGGCTCTGGGGAAGCCTCCATGTTCTGCTTCTTCCTTCTCCTCTTACCCATTCTTTCTCTCAGGATTAACTCCAGGTCCCCCCTCTACTCTGGGTAGCAGGGAGGATACAGGCTCAACAGGTAGATGAGATGATAAATAGACTCGAGAATTACAAATCCTCCTTTATTGTGAGGGAGACTGGAAACAATAACTTATCACATGGGGGACCCCCAGAAGCCCTCCCCCCATGAACCCCGGGGGGCTAGGGGAAGGGCAAGGGGGCTCCAGGAGCTTCCTGAGAGGGCTATGTACTGGGGGTTGAGGCAACACATTCAGTCCAGGCACACAGAACATACACGCAGAAGGCGAGGAGCCAGACATACCCCCTCAAGGAGGGGGCAAACAAGGCACAATGGCAGGGAAGGTTTGCCGAGTGGTTGAATGTCAGGGGTCCACAAAGGACACCATGATGTAGCGAGTGCCCCAGGTGGTGGGCAACCCCTCATGGTAGTGGGTGAGACGGCCAGGGTGCAGGAGCCCCCAGCCCTTCCGCGGCGATGAGATCATGCAGTCATAGCGCAGGAAGCGGCAGCCACCTCCCTGGAAAGGCAACAGGAGTGGGGAGTGAGCAGACATGAGCATGAGGACAGGCAGCTGCTGGGGGTGAGAGGCAGACAGGGCTAGGGGCCTCAGCAGCTGGAGAAAGGGAGGGAGGGGTCCAGGAGATGATGCCTGCCAAGTAACTGGGAACCGCGAAGAGGGTGGGTAAGGGGGAGGGTTGGGGAGAGGTGCCAGGGTGTCAGGACAGGACACTGTGTGTGTGTGTGTGAGCCCTGGTGGTGCCCAGAGGTGGGAGGGTGGGAGGGGCTCTCACCTCATAGTCCAGGCCCTTGTGGTTGAGGGCCACATTCAGGGTGAAGGTGGAGGAGTCGTGATGTGGCCGCAGAGAGGGCTGCTCGTCTGGCCGGTAGCGGACTACGAAGTTCATCACTGCCCGGGTCTGTGAGAGCATGAGCAGGAAGGCTGGAGGGGTGGTTGCAGGGCCAGGGGGCCTCTGAAGGAGGTGACTGCCCCTGTCCAGAGGTACTGTGGACTCCTCCCTCCGGGGCTCTCTCCTGCAGGACCTCTCCATGGGGCCCCAAAGGCCACAGGGGCCAAAAGGACTTCGGCTGGGATCAGGGTGTGGGAAGAGGGATGAGGCAGGGGTGGCAGTGGCCCACCTTGGTGTGGTAGCCTGGGAACAGGCTCTCGGTCATGGGCCCCACGTATGTCCTCAGCAGCTGCAGCCACTGGTCCTCATAGCCCACCTGCTTCATGTGGATGTCCACAGTGGGCACGTTCTCGTAGCCTCCAGCCAGCCTGGAGTCCTGCGGGCAGGGAGCACTGAGCCCCTGACAGGGCAGTGCCAGCCTCCCCACCTCCTCTTGTTCCAGGCCTTAAAGTTTGTTTTCCCTTTGACTAGAAGTCTTGACCACTTTAGTTTGACTTACTGCTACTGGCCCTTTAGGATATCACCTGTTCTGTGAAGCCCCCTGGCTCCCCCCATGTCCAGGCCAAAGGCCCTTCTGGGACTCCCACAGCACCTGGGCTGCCATCACTGCCTTTAGAAGCAGCAAGTGAGGTGGTGGGGGTAAGGTGGGTGCAGAGCTCGACCTGCACACCTCATCCATGCACCTGCCCTGCTCAGGCCAGTGGTGCCATCCAGGACCTGCCCACTGACTATTGATTGTCCCCTCCCCCTTGTAGACCAAATCTGTGCTCCTACCTTCCTGATTCCATTTTCCATCAGTCAGATCCAGCATCTCCCTTTCCCAGGGCCCTCTCTTCCCCACGCCAGCTCATCTCACCTCGTGCCGGCCTCCTGACCACTGGCCGTAATGCTCCATCTCCTCCACCAGCTCGTCACACATTTGCTCTGACAGTAGTGGGAACCAGTACACATCCGGGCACGGCTGAGGATGGGGTGGGACAAGAACAACACGGCTGGGTGATACTCAGGGAGGGGACAGGTGGCCAGCAGAGGGGAGAAAAAGCAGGGAGCAGAAAGGGAGGACAGGAGAGGAGAGAAGCAGGGAGAATGGGGGTCTGACATGAGGCTGGGCCATAGAAGGTGGGAGCGGTGCTGAGAACATGACACAGATGGAAGGCAGGCCCAGGGACCCCAGGTTCAAAAATCTTCAGAAAACTGTCATTTCCCCCACTACCAGCATACCCAATAAACCAGGGCCATTCTGATTAATGCCGGGTAGGGGGCTGAAGGCCTGTCTGCTCAGCCTTCATCTCCATCTTCCTGAGGAGGAAAGCCTAAGACACCTGGAGGAGGTCAGTTTGAAATCCGCTAATCCAAAGCAGCGTGGTCACAGGCCCTGAGTGGGGCTCACCTGCTCCACGAATCCCTCCCCTTCAAGGGCCCGGCTGTAGTTCTCATGAATGTACTGCTCCTTCCAGTCCTGGGGGAGGGTCAGGGGCACACCTTGATGTGGGCACTCTTCACCTGCTCCGTCCCAGCCCAGAAGCCCCAGCTCCTGGACCCACCCCTCCCAGGGAGTGGCAGATCTGCTAGGGTATGTGCATGCATGTGTACATGGCAGGAGGAGGGCAGCCTCCTTTAGCGAAGGGCATGCACATTCTCTGAGTGAGGGGTCCCCACTCACCACAGGGTTGTCAAAGATCTGCCAGAGGTCGGGGTGCAGGTGGTCTGTGTCATACCGGGAAGTGGCCAGGAGGTGGCCAAATTCGTGCTGATTGCTGAGGTGGAGGAAGATGCCCTGGAATGGGGGAGAGGGTGAGAAGGAGACACAAGGTGGCTGCCTCCTTGTTCCCCAGCATTGGGCCCCTAAGCCCTACACCTCAGGCCCAACTGCCCCACTCACCTTGTCCCGCAGGCTCTTGCAGAAGGCCATGTCTGGGTCACTGTCACTGCCTGAGAACACCTCCCTCTGGGGCAGCTCTCTCCTCAGGGTCTCCCCACGGATCATGTATGCCTGGGATATGTAGGGCACGTTCCACACACCCCTGGAAGCACCCGCACCAGGGTCAGCTAGGCGGGTGGCCCCCCATAATTCTGCCCAGTTCCACCCAGTAGCCCCTTCTCTCAGGGCACGCCACTCTCAGAACTGAAGGTCCTGCTCACTTCCCCCGTCACACACTGCTAATCCCACCCCTTAGGCCCTGCTCCAGCCATGGCATGTCTGACAGGTGGCCACACCAGACCTCTGAGACTAGGGCCTTGGGAGAGGGTGCGGGTGGCTATGAGGACCCAGGTCAGGACTCACACTCGCTTCCGCTGCACCAGCTCCACGTAATCCTCAGAGCGCGCATAGTATTCGTCGGGGCTCAGGGCTCCCCAGAAGTTGGACCACAGCTTCCCATGGCGGGACAGCATGGGCGCTATCACCTTCCTGCGGACAGGGGAAGGTGAGGGCTGGGAGGACGCAAGCCCCATGCCCAGGGAAGGAGCTGGGGGCTCCCTGGGGACTATGGGGGCCCTCTGGCTGAGCTGGGTAAGCAACCTGTTCTCTTCAATGAGGATGCGCAGGGCCTGCTGGTTGGTGATGACAGAGTCAGCGTCCAGGCTGAAGTAGAATTCACACTCAGGGTCCTGCCGACAACTGTCCCTGGAGGTGACAGGTGAATAAACCGATGACCTAAGATGGGCACCAGTCGGGGAAAGGAGACTGTATGGTGGTGCAACGCCTTCCAGCCACCAAGGACAAGAGGAGGAAAGTATAAAGAAGCACCAACAAGAGGAGAGGAGGGAGGGGGAGACTTGCTTCCCCAGGACCCTTAGGTTCTCCATCTGGGTGATCAGAGCAAGGTTGACACAGAGTGTGTGGTGGCTGGGAGGGCACCACTGTGGAGGCCAAGGATAGGCTGGATGGTGAGTGGAGAGGGTGGCAGCCTCCCCTTTACCCTCAAGTCCTCCAGCCCAGCACTCACTTACATGGCCATGTCCCTGGCCTCGCCTGGGGTCAGGGCCTCCTCTGGCCCCACCAGCTTCACAGCTGAGAAGTGGTCCTGGAGCTGGGGCCAGGAGTCTGCAATGTGGGGCTCGTGGTACACTTCCTGGAGACACAGGGAGGGGACACTGAGGGGGCAGGAAGGTGGTACCTGAAGGCAGGAGGGGGAGCTGGTGAAAGGAAAGGGTGTAGGAAGGAGTCTTGGGTGCGGGAGAGGCAGAGTTCTGATCTGAGCAGGGGCAGGGCCCCTTGCAAGGGATGGGCTGCCAGGGTGTCTCACATTGTTGTGCAGGAAAAGGGTGACCCTGTTGGGGGGGTAGTCCAGGAGCAGCAGTCGCTGGAGGAAGCGGGGCAGGAATGGAGTAGGTTGTTCCACAAACACAGCCAGAAGCACCCGGGGGGGAGGCTGGAAGAGTCCATGTAACGGGGCTCAGAGGAAGCTTGGGTCCCCTACCCAGTCTGTCCTCCCCAGTCCTGCCAGGTCTGGGGGTCCCTAGGAGATCTTCCCCCACCGTGCTGCCCAGAATGTTCTCCCTGCACCCCTGGGTACCCTAGTGTGTTCTCCTGCCCCACTCCAGCACCTCTCCTCACCTGCCCCCCCGGGAGTGTCCTCCGGTCCCGGTCACAGAAGCCACAGCCTCCCTCAGGAGTCCAGCCATTTGGAACATAGTTTCCCAGGTAATTCAGCTGGAGCTGTTGGAAGAGATGCTGAGAGGCTGGGGCAGAGGAGGCTGGGGCAGAGGTGAGGAATGGCAGGAAGACAGGGAGGAACAGGACTGGAAGAGGAGTGGACACAAAACCTCTCCCAGTCCTCTGCTGCTGGGAGCAGGGGAGCTGGGGCAGGCGAGGCCTGGGGCAGGGGCTGAGGTCAGGTCTGCCTGAAATGGGCTGGGGCTGGGCAGGGGCAGGGGATGGAGGTATAGGTCAGCGGAGCACCTTAGTTGGACCATTCCCATGGATCACAACAGGAAGTGTGTCGTAGGCCACATTCCGGATACGCACACGGTTCCGATCAAACTTTAAAACTACCTCATCTGGGGAAGAAAAACCAGGTTTTAGACTCCCTTTCTCTTGAAGCTGCTAAGCCACAAGTGCTTCTAAATATGGTGGGGTGAACTCAGTTTCTCTAGAAGATGAAGGACTGTGGCTCCATGGGGCAGGATGGGCAACCTTCTCTGAGGGTATTGACCAGGCTGCTGTCACCCTGGGCATCTCTACCACACTAGCTAGATGCCAGGGCAAGTCACCAGTCCTTCAGAGATGCAGTCTCCTCATCTGTTAACAAGGTTTTAGACCATCCTTTTGTAGGACTGTTGTGTTAAGTGAAATGACAGAAGTAGAGCTCTTGGCCCAAAGCATGTGTTCACAAGATGCTAGGTGTGACTACCACTTCTATTACTATCAACAGTGCAACTTACCCTATCGGCTATTCAGATGTTTGATGATGTTAACATAGAGGTGACTTGAAGACCACCCCACTTCCACCAGAAGAAGCCCTTCCCAAGGTCAGGACCCCCAGCAGCACAGGCTTCTCTCACTGCCCCTTCTGACTGCCTTTTTTCTCACCCAAAGCCCCGTTGAGGTTCTGAAAGATCCGGGATTTATGATCCAGATTAAGGTTGAGTTTCTCCTGGATGGGATGAGATGGGGCAGTTATTTAAAGAGGGGGTAGGACATCATTTTCCACTCTTTCTCTTTACATCTTCCCCCAAATCCTTTCCCTCTTCTCTCCCATTCAGCCTGAGGCCAGTGTGCCCTGCCGAGTTGCTGGGTTGCCACTGCTCCTCCATCCCTCCTACCCTTAGTCCGGGGTCCAGGTAGAGTCGGGTGTAGAACAGCTGATCGTCATCATCATCCTTGTACTTCCACTGGCGGACAATTTGGTGGATGGTCGGGGCAAAGCCAATGAATCCTGTGGGGGAAGGGGAGGTGCTGACTCCAAGACTCTTAGGGTTCCAGGGACTCGTGCCCACTCCCTCTGCAGCCCTCAGGCACCTGGAACACTTCATGCCCACCACTGTTGGCCCCTCTGCCTCAGGCACTCTGCCACTCACCACCAGAGTTGAGGAAGCGCTTCCCCGTGCCCACCTCAGGGTACTGCTCTGCCAGACCCCACTCAGGCCAGCAGAAGCCCTCTGCGGAGAAGAGCAGGCGGCTGCCACTCTGGATGAACTTCTTGAGCAGCTCCGAGGGGCTGCCAGCCAGAATCACATCATAGCTAGGTGAGGAAGGGGAGGCTGAACATGTGCCACTAGGAACATCAGTATCTTTACTCCTCCTCTTGTTCGCCTCCCCACTTCTTCCAATCCTCAGCCCCTTTACCTGTCCACAAACATGATGACCATGTCCTCTCGGTCTGCATATTTTTCCATTTCCTTCTTCAGCCACCTGACCTTCTGTCCTCCACCAACCGTTCGGGCCACATCACCCCCTCGCCACTCCTCTCCCAGGCCCAGGGTCTGTAGGGAAGAGCCATGCCAGGGAAGGGCTCAGCCAGCTGGTGGTCCCTCCCAACCAGGCTCACCCTCGGGCCCCAGGAACCAGCCCTCAGCTGGAACCCCCTCCTCTGGGCCATGAGGGCCTTCCTCTCCTCACCCGAACTGTGTAGTTGAAAAATTCTGCTGACTGCAGGAAGCGCCAGTATCCCTCAGTCTCAGTTGTGGCCACGGTGATCACCAGCAGCTTCTCTGTCACCAGCCAGGAAGTGACACTCGGGATCCACTCACCCAGCTCACCGCCTCAGGCTCACCACACACCCCTTCCCCTCCCTCGGATTCTGCTCCTGTCCCTCTCTTTTTCCCATTCCCTCTTAAACTCTTCCCACCCAGGGAAACTTCGACTCCGTTGTGAGCAAAACGAGTGACAGCCCAGAATTCGGTCACACGGGCTGTGGTGTGGGGGAGGGGCCGCGTGATTCGGCCCTAAGGAGCGCACTGGGCGTGGAGGGGCCCGCCAACCCCTCCCGGCCGCGGCCGGCAGACACGTCAGCCAGGCACCCCCCGACCCCCAGCCCTCCCTGGGCTCTTACCTGGGTTGACCGGGCTGCTGCCCCGCGGACGGTCGGAGGCCGCGGCCGCACGCGGCGGCGGCAGCAGCGGGAGCAGCAGCGGGAGCAGCAGCGCGAGCCCAAGTCCCGGGCCCGCGGAGGCCATGGTGAGGAGAGCACTGAGACAGCACACGGGCCCTCAAGGGCTCGGGCAGCGCGCCTGGATCCCAACTCTGGAAAGGGGTTCTGGGACGGGGGACCAGGGCTGCTGTGCGGCCCGCTGAGAGGAGGAGCAGGGTTGGGGCTCCGCCCTGGAAAAAAGGCGTAGCCGGAGGTTACAGTAAACCCGAGATGCCGGCGCCCCAGACAAGGCGAGGATTGTCCGGGGGCGCGAGCGCGCGGGCTGCGCAGAGCGGGCGGAGGGGGCGTCCGGCCGGGAGGCGGGGGAGGGGCGGGGCCTCCGGCGGGCGACCCCGAGCCAAGGACTTTGGTCAGAACCAGTCCTGCCCACCGCCGCATGACACATGAGGAAAACGACACCCGGAGAGGGAAGTGACCCCTCGCAGGTCTGGCGGAACGCGGAGGCGGATCTTTGGCCCAGCCCTGCCTGGAGCTGCTGGAAGGAAGACTGGCAGAGAGGGGCCGTTGGGGGCGCACGGAGCCCGCACGAGTCGAGGAGCGGGCGGCAGGGTGGGGAAAGGCCGAGGAGTCTGCGGCCCCAGGGAGGCTGGGGGTTGAAGTTTCGGCAGAGGGTCACCAGAGACCTCTCGATTGCCCATTCAAGCCTGCCCACTTTCTTTGGTGGTCCGACCCATCATCTTTACTGCCCCGGGGGAAAGCCTTGTGATGATGGCATCTTGGGAAGGACCAAAAGGAAAATGACATTTCTCGAAAGACCTCTTGCACTGCCTCTTTAAAATGACTCATTTCGGGGCGGAGGAGACGGTCCGACGAAATACCCAACTACACCGAGGAAGGAAGTAGTTTTGCCCCTATAAAACATGGCGAAAGCATTCTCGTCTCCAAGGGAACATCACGCAATGAGCTCAAGCGATGGGATTATTCTGCGCACGCGCTTAAGCGCACGCCACCGGAAATGATGGCGTCTCTACCACAGAGGGTGATTTAGTACGCGTGCGCATTAGGCTTTTCGGGCAGCTGTTGTGTGGAAATGGTGGAGAAGAAAACTTCGGGTATGTGATCCCCCAGCGGTTGGCCCCTTTCCTCCTTCTAAATCAGAACCTGGTCTAGGATTAACTCACACACAGATATTAATCTCAAGTCCCTTCCCCAGCCCTCGGGTTCTGGAGTCGGGGCGGCCCCCCATACCATTCATTCACATTTTATTGATGCTGTTCGGAGCCTGGCTCTAGGTTGGAGAAAGGCAAAAGATACTGATTATCCAAGAAGCGGCTTTACGGAAGGGCTTCAGACATGCATTTCAGAGTGATACGTGCTATGGCAGACGGAGGCACAGCTCTTGGGGGCAGGGAGGAGTGGCACCCAACCTAGCTTCTGGGATGGACGGGACAGGGAAGGCTTGCGGGGGTGGGGTGCGGGGAAGAATACGCTTGGATTGAGTCTTCAAAATTCTTGCGAGGGTGGGGTGCGGGGAAGAATACGCTTGGATTGAGTCTTCAAAATT